TCCTTTTAAGAAAAAAAAAGTAACATAAATGAAAGCATAAATAAATGTCTCCTAGACCTCCCTTCTTTCTCTCTGCCCATTGCCCTAATTTCTTTCTTAAGGGATAATAAAAGTGTATAAGTTTTGGTAGGATAAAATTAAAAGACATGGTAAAAAGAACAGAGAAAATGCTCTGAAATCAGACACTCAAGTTCACATCCGTGGTTCTGTAATTACAACGTGGGTCCTGAAACGAATTACTTTTTAACCTTCAGTTTTTCACTGGTAAGGCTGGAGTTAATAACTTAAATTTGTCATGAATATTAATTTAATGCTTATAGAGTGATGACATAGAGCATGGCACATAACATATACTCAGAAAAGGCATGTAAGTCCTTAGAAAATTTGGCTAAAATGAACTTCAGAAGTGGTGGTGAAGAAAACTTTATGAAGACTGGATGGGTATCAGTAGAGCCCCTTGGAGTTGATATTTATAGGGAGCAAAGGGAAGTGTATGATGCTAGTCAATTATATTTTATTGAATTGGTTCTCTTGTCACCATCCCATCCCCTTCTCCCTATTTCATTGTGTCACAGTAGTTTGAATGGCTTTGTGCCCTAAAACCCACAGTCCAGACATTTTCAGCAAAATTTCTGGACAATGCTCCTGCATGGATAAACAATAAGTCACCAGTTCTTATTGTGAGCTGCTCCAACACTTATCGGAGTGTGGCATGCCACGACCTGGCTCTGTTTAGCCCCGGAGGCACCTGGGTCTAACCTGCCAAGAGCTGGGTAGACTGCCAAGAGTCAGGCAGCGGAGTTGAGGCTGGAGAGAGCAAAGATAAAATGAAGTACGAGTGGGGATGGAATCTAGGCCGGGTTAAGACTGAGTCCATCACCAAGAGGCCAGGTAGTAAGTGAGAGAATAGGTAGGTATCAGGGGCCCCCGGCAGATACTGAGATTAGGAGCTCCTGGGAAGAAAGGAGCGCTGGAGGTTCGGTGTGAGTCAGTGGCTGAAGAGACTGAAGTCCAGGCCAGGATCCATGAAAGCTCCTGCCATCCGTCGAGAAAGTCTGGCTAAGTGACATGGCCCTTTAGTCCATATCAACATTTTTTAAAATATGCTAGAACTCCTTCTCCTCTCCCAGTGTACAGATCTGGAATCTGGTGGTCCTCTGTGCCTCAAAGTGGTGCCTCTCAATCTTGAATGTGCACAGGAATCACCTATGCTACGAGGCAGATTCTAATTCAGCAGATCTGGGTCTGGATCAACTGTCTGCATTTCTAACACCCTTAAAGGGAATGCAGACACTGCAGGCCCAGGGACCACATTTTAAGTGGCAAAGCTTTAAAAGGCTGTTGCTGTTTGGTCTTGCTAAATCCACGGGTCTTCTGTTTTGTTTCATGTCAAGGCTACTTCCTCAGGGCAAAGCGGAGAAGAGCATTGCCAGCTGGTTCAGAACTGAGCCCCCGTAGCTGGACTTTTGATAAAACTGGAGTCCTGACAGCTCTCATCTTTTTTCTTCTGTGACAAAGCAGATCCTCACTGAATTTAATATTGGTAACAAAACCATACTGAAGGCCTGGACAAATTCAATTGTCTCTGATGCAATTGGTTTTCCTGGGCAGAAATGTTGCCCCTGAGTGCTAATCCATTGCTCTGACAGGAGCTATCCTCTGCCTGGTCAGGGGCCTCGTGAGAAGCCAGGAGGACTTGACCTTAAAAAATTCCCAATAGTTGTTGTGGTTTTTTTTTCAGGTAAAATATCAAATTTGTCAATTTATGTCCATTCTTCTCAAAGGCAACCTTTTCCCGAAACCTTTGTTTTTATTCTGCGATTGTTATTGAATGATATAAAATAAGGGTAGAGAGAAGAGCCTAAGAATAGGGGCCTAGTTGCAAACCTTTGAATATAATTATTCTGTAGTGGCAATAGCCTCCCAAGTACCCTGACATTCCCCAGGAGGGAAGATGAGCAGTGAAGACAGAGGTGAATCCCCATGTGGGTCATAGCCCTGGTTTTAAGGCTCCTGTGCTCCCCCCTCCCTGATCACATCTCCCAAAACCCTCCTCCCAGGCATCATAACTCATCACGCATTTCCCTGTGATTGCACCCCTACATACTATAAAATTAGAGTATTATGTTACATGTTTCAAAGCTTTCTATAAGTACCATCATCCCCTCCCCGCCCTCCTTTAGCTCCTCCTCACTCTTCCTCCTCTTTTTCTCTATACTTGGTTTGTGGAGTTAATCAATGTTGATATGTGAAATGACAATCCATTTTATATAGAATGAACAGACAGCAATATATTTATCTACTTTCTTATTGCTGAGAGTTTAGCCTGTTTTCAATATTTTATTATTAGAAGTTGAGTTGCTGTGAACCTCCTCTGTGTCTTGGTATGTGTTTGCAAGAATTTAGAATATAGCTTCAAAGTGGAATTGCCGTTCAACTTTACTCAATATTACAAAATTATTTTCCATTGTGGTTGGAACACCACAGTGCATAAAAGTTTATATTGCTCTAAATCCTCATCAATATTTGAGGTTTTGAGACTTCAAAATGTTTACTTATTGATGGTTATACACTTACATTTCATTTGGTTTTAATTTGTATTTCCATGATAACTAGTGAAGTTGAGGCTCTCTTAAATTGTTTCTTGGCAATCTGTGTTTGATATTTTTGAAGTACCTACTTATATATTTTGATAGGCTTTTTTTCCCCCCCATTGGGTTGTTTTGCTAACATTTTAAATATATTCTGGAGTCTAAATCTTTATCAGTTATGCTTATTACACACATTATTTCCTTTTTCTGCTTATTTTAGGTTTAATTTGCTCTTTTTCTAGTTATATGATAAAAGCTTAGATCATTGATTTGAGATCTTTTCTAATATAAGCATTAATATAAACTTTCCTCCAGGTATCTTTTAATTGGTAGGGCAGGGATTTCATTCTGATTCAAATATGTGCATATATGTATATATTCTATGAATAACCACTGAATATGTAAAATTATTTAGAACTGTATTGTTTAATTTTCATATATTTGGGGATTTTCCAGATATTTTTTGATTTCTAGTTTAATTTTATTATGGTCAGAAAATATACTTGTTTTTATTTTAATTCTTTTAAATTTGTTAAGGTTTATTTTAGAATTAAGATATAATCTTAATGAATTGCTCATATATATTTCAAAAAAAAATCAGTATTTTGTTGTTGTGGGATGAATTGTGTTAAAATGTCAATTAGGTCAAGTTGTTGGCAGTATTGTTTAGTCTTCTATATCCTCACTGTTTTTCTGCTTACTTTTTTTTTCTCCATTACCGAGAGAAAATGTATAACATTGTGGATTTGATTTCTCCTTTCAGATTTGTATGTGTGGCTCCATTCTCTCTAAAATTGAAGTTATTTTTCAGATACTGAATAGCTTTGAAAGGATTATGTTATGCTTAAAATTGGACCATGTTAACAAGTCCTTTTAGGCATCTCACTTTAATTCTCTCCACTCACCTCCAAATTACACACACCCACACATAGAGTTTATATTATTTTATTGATTATTCACCATTAGTGTACAGAGTTGGGATTTTGTTAGGATTCATTCATATTACCTTATTTAGGTCTCCTTTTCAATCTTTAAGGTGACTGATCAGAATTGAGGGTTGAGTCTTTGGTCAAGAAATAGTAAAGTTAACCAACTCCTGTATCTAAGTCCTATACATAGCAGTCTTCCACGGATATCACCCCCACTAATGTTCATGCATTTGTCATGGGTACTGGAGAGAATGTGGTTCAGTGACTACATGCCCTTATCAGAAAGACTATTAAATTTAAATAGTCAAAAATAAATTAGAAAGCACTGTATTAATTCAAAATACAATCTTAAAATTGACAGAATATGGTGCAATGGCCCTTTACCCCAGCAAGTATTCCTTGTTATATCTTTAGCAGCGAATGTGTGTTTATCTGCAACTTTATTGTATTATTTTCTAAAGATTCAAGATGCTTTCTGGATTTAATTTTTGCCAGATGATCTTACAAACTAGAGCTGAATTATAAATTAAGTTGCTTTGTTAAGAACAACAAAGAGTAAGGCTGTGGATTTGTGTAGTTGGAGACTAAATTAGTATTCCAAACCCAAACTCTATTGCTGCAATCTCATTAAACAGCATTGGGTAGACATTTAAAGATTTTATACATTTTAATTCAACTGGTCACTTGGTTTAAAACTACATTGATTTTTTTCTATTTAATTTTTGGTCATGTATATCATGCTAGATATCAAAATGCATTTGAAACTTGGAGGGTGTCTGTATTAACAGGGTATTAAGTTCTTGGAAAGGTTCCTTTCCCCATGCTAATTTTTATCACTTCGCTATTGCTTCCATTTCCCCTTGAGCTTTAGCTTTTAAGGATTATTATTCATTCTTTTCAACATCTACCTCGATCATTAAACAATTACACCTTTATCAGGCAGAGCAGCAGGAGACTCTGTGGATAATGATGAGGTTGGAAACGCCCCTGCACAACCTGTTGGCTCATCTTGGAAGAAGAATGTCATGCCAAATTATCTTTATGTGTTCATGAATAATGTCCTAACAAGGATGGTTGGAGAGATGAGTATAAAGGGCAGTTCTAATGGAAAGAATGAAAGTAATATTCACTTTGGCGAAACATTATAACGCCTCGACAAGATGCTGTCTGTCCTTGCTGCTAAATTAGGTGCATTTAAGTTAGCATCCTCTGTAGCTATCTGCTATTTTGCAGAATGAACTAAAAGAGAAAGAATATACCTTTCAGGATTTAGAACTCCCTCATATGACCATAACGTAATTGCAGGGAAAATAGTCATTTAACCCAGAGTTCCTAGTGTATTAACTGGGTGTATTGGTCTTGAATGTAGAAGTGGTATAGGCAGGCAGGTAGTTATAGTCTCTACCCACCTTTAATTCTTAGCTTTCAACTGCACTCTAGAGTAACTGACATTTTTGCTGTTGATGTTTCCTCAATGCAGAATTTCAGAGTGGGATATCAGGTCTTTAGTGTGAAGATACGTCGATACTAAACCAAGAATCATTGGCAGTGACATTTGGACACGAAATATTAGAAAACTAAAAAGTAAGCAGCTGTGAAGGTTGATCATGGAAATCAAAGAGGAAGGCACATCAGAAGAAGGCCAGCACTTCCTTCCCACACCGCAGGCCGATGAGAGTGGGGACTTCCACTTGACAAGTAAGTCTGTGTGTGACCCTTCTTGGAACTCTGACAAACACACAGAAACTGGGGTTCTAACAAACGGCATAAGATTAACAACATGTTTTCCCTTTGCACTGCTTCTTTTGTTGTGAGTCTATGAAATGCTTCTTATCTCTTATCATCTTTTATGAGATGGATGATAGTCCATGAAACTGTTAAATATCAAATGGTAGAATCAACGTTGCTAAATGTGTATTAAGACACTAATACTTCTTAAGTACCCCTTCTATTTAGCATTTGTATAATCTCATGTGGAATTATTTTTTTGGAACATGACATTTTCCCCTTTAACCCAAGGACTAAGTGGAAAGCTTTAGGGTGAAATGGCTGCACTGCTGTCACTGCCCTACCTGAGAGCACCAAGTCCCATAGAGAGCAAGCTTGGAGACTTGGGCAAGATTTACATATGAACATTACAATCGGGATTTGTGCTTCTCGCATAATTAAAATCGTTGGAAGAATTATATGTTTTTCTCCCATGCTCAAAATTCCAGGGTTCAGGTTTTATTGTTTAGCGTGAATTGTGTCCTTTCTTTACTTTTCAGAAGATTCTTGTTGCCCAGTTATTAACACTGGCAAACATATGCCTAACCTCTCATTTAATTTACATTATAAAAATAATCCTTAGAAAATGGTATTGGTTGGATGCATTTTTTGAGAAATTTGGTTGTCAGAGCTTATAGCAGAGTTAATTGTTAATAACCTTTTTAAAAATCTACACTATTCAAAATGCACAAAGGCCTACCTAATGATTGTCACTTTAACCTCTCTTGGAAAGT